AAAAAAAAAAAAAGAAAGAAAATAAGCTGGTAATGCAGACGGACACACAGACCGCCCAAGCAACGAGACAGAGCAATAGATACGGGCTGGAGAAGACCGTTGCCTCGGTCAGTCAGCAACATAGAGACCTAAGTGTTTAGTCCGCCAAGCACCACCCGCACACACAGCTTCCTGGCATGTGGTACTGTGGGAAGGGTAAGGGACTCGGGGCACACGTCCCGGGTTTGGGTCCCAGCTCTGCAGCTTCTCTGTGAGTCCCCAGAACCCCAGTAAGACTCTGTTTCCCCGTGTGTGAAATGAAGATAACCTCTGTCCGAGTTTCGATAGGATCTGGAAAGACTGAATTGTTAGGCCTTAGCCAGGATCCTCACCTTGGAATGAGGGCAAGAAGCAGTTGGGTAGTTCTTACAGCTTGAAGTCAGCAAGGACTTGGGCTCACGGTGATGGAGCGTCATTCTGCACGTTTGTGTTTTGCAGATGGGAATGAAGGTGGCAAGATGGGCTCAACAGTCACTGCTGCGGTCATTGGGATCCTCGTGCCCATGGGTGAGTGTGGCCCCAAGTCTCTAGGGAGATGAGAAAACCCGAGCTCGGGCTCTCGGGAAAAGCACTAGCACGAAACACTTAGCACACTACCTGTCCCATTGAGGAAACTGTGGCTCAGACTTTTTCTGCCCCGGCAGCCTTCTTGCCCACTTCCCAGTGCTGTCATTTGGTTTCTTAGCTTGGCACATAAGGCCCTTCTGGACCTGGCCCCAGGCAACTGTCCCAATGCCTCCCTATTCCCCAGCGTTCACACTCCGCATGCCGGCCACGTGAAGGTGAACTGCTGGCTCCGTGGGCACAGGGCTGGCGCCTCTCTTGCTCGCCCCTCCCCCCAGCTCCTAGCAGTGGCTGGCACATGGTAGGAAATAAAATATTTGTTGAATTAATGAGGAGCGCTGCTTGCCATTCCTTTAGTAAATTGTGCTGTCTTTCTTCCTTTCTGTTTGGTTTTCAACAAACATTTATCAAGCAGCTGCGATGTAGCAGACTGTGATAAGTGGAGAAAAGGTGGTTAAAAACGAATAAGACACGGTTCCTGTCCTCCAGAACTTTAGTCTTGTTGGAGAGACACGCATAACAGATAATTAATTGGACGATGACATGGGAAGTCTAAAATTAAGCCACAGGCAGTCCAGTGGAAGTGCTGAGGAAGTACTTAACTTGGAATCGGAAGAGAAGGGAAGTGGGCAGGGAAGGTTTCCGAGTGGAAATGACGGGTAATGACTCAAGCCGAGTCAGCCCAATGAAGAAGAACCCAGAGCAATCCAAGCAGTGAAAACAGCAGGAAGCAAAGCCAGGAAGGGGAAATAGCATGGGAGAGCGGGTGCGGGTGGGTTTGGAACTAGAAGTTTGATATGGCCAAAATACAACATTTGGTTAAAGCTCACAGAGAACCACAGAGGCTGATTTATTCTCTCCCACCCCGCTGTTCACATAGTGTCCTGAATATGCTGTCTCTTGGACCAGTCTCATCTCTTGGTGGGGTCTTCGAATTGCCACTGCCCATTCATAGGTTGATCTCCCTTGCTTGCCCACGGGCACCTCAGGGACGAGGACTTTGCCCATTTATCTTGGAAATCCCCAGTGTAGTGGTGAGCTAGTGAGTGAATGTTTTCAAAACTTCTGCACTGTGCAGGGGACTCTGCTGAGTGCCAAGGATCCAGGGAAGAAGAAGATAAAAGACTTTAAGAGCCTTCAGTCTTTAATCAGACTTGGTCCTCAAAAGTGATGCAGGAGGGCGCCTGGGTGGCTCAGTTGGTTAGGCGACTGCCTTCGGCTCAGGTCATGATCCTGGAGTCCTGGGATGG